TTTCATTTTTGGAAATTATTTGAAACCATTCACAGACCTTTGCCATTTATCATACTGATTAAAAGCTGTCATTTGCAGCATTTATAGTCTTCAAGTACATGTCATAGCTGTTTTGATAGAACACAAATGTTCATCTAAAAAGGCATATAAAACCAAACCAGGGAATATATTTTTTTCATAGGCAACATATCAAAACCACATAGTATGTACTTTCAAATATTGCACTGAGAATTTTGTTGATTAAAACTGGAAAGATTTTTTGTCTGTGACTGACAGAATTTAGAAGATCTTTAGAACCAAAAATAAATATGAAAAGGTAAGAAATACTGCCTTAGAGTGTCATGGTAAGATGTCTACACTTTCCATAAAAGCAACAATACCTCAAATACATTTATCACATGAGAACACATCTTCTTGTCAGAAATAAACCAAGATTGCTGTAGCTTTAAATCAGAAGGTGAGTTTTCATAAGGATTTTTCATGATCACCAAGAAGCTTCTTTTGTAGATGCAAGAAAAATCTGTGGAAGACACACATCTACTGCCCCTTTACTATTTTTTTTAATATTTATTTATTTGAAAGTCAGAGTTACACAGAGAGAGAAAGAAGGAGAGTCAGAGAGAGAAAGGTCTTCCATCATCTGGTTCATCCCCATAATGGCCACTAGGGCCGGAACAGAAGTCAGGAGCCAGGATATTCTTCCAGGTCTCCCACATGGGTGCAGAGGCCCAAGGACTTGTGCCATCTTCTACTGCTTTCCCAGGCTGTAACAGAGATCTGGATCAGAGGAAGAGCAGCCGGGACTCGAACTCACACCCATTTGTGATGCCAGTACTGCAGGTGGTGGCTTTACCCACTATGCCACAGTGCCAGACCCACCCCTTTACTATTTAATCTGAAAAGATTTGTCATGAGTTGAAAATGTATGCATTTATTTTAGATAGAAATCTTTAATGCAATGTTTATTTTCAATGTGTATTTTTAGCTTACTGAATAATTGTTATGTTAAAGAAGGGTTGAATATGGAGCTGGAGCTGCTTTTTGTAAAGTCTTGAATGATAATTACATTTAGGGCACAATTTGTAATACAGTGAATTAGGCTGCCACCTGCAATCCCAGCATTCCATTCAGAAGCACTGGTTCAAATCTTGACTGTTCAGTTTCCAACCAGCTCCTTTCTGATGTCCTGAAGGATAAGGAGGATAGTCCAAGTACTTGGGCCCCATCTACCCATGTAGGAGAACCAGATACGGAGTTCCATTTTCTTTTCTTCAGCCTGGGCTAACAACAGCTAGTGTGGCCATTTGGGAAGTGAAACGGTGGATGGAAAATCTCTCTCTTTGTCCCTCTCTCTCTCTCTCCACCTCTTTCTCTCTCCCTCTATCAGTCTGCCTTTAAAATACATAAATACAACTTTTAAAAAGTGACACTTAACAATTACTTAAAAATTCAAATTTAGTAGGATAAGTTGAATTCTGTACTAACAATATTTTAACATGATATAGTATTGAAGGGTTAAAAAGTTAAAAGCCGCTTCCCCCCAACCTCCTCTGGTGAACTTTCCTGACCTTGTTAGATTTGCTCTGCATAGCCATTAGTCAGTAAATTACCCCAATGTGAGCGTAACCTCAGTTTCACCTAAGTGAGATAGAAGAAGTCACCATATATCTCTGCCTCCTGGACCCCTGACTCCACCATGTGTCCCTTATCGCCATTCGGCTGCATTCCTAGGTATCACTCCCTGTATTCATAAATCAACTGGTTGTAAAATCACTTAACTTGTATCAATTGTTTACTCTATACCACTGTCTGCTCTATGCAATGATTGATTTTCTTTGTTTCAATGTGTATAAAAACCCCAACCCAAGACTATTCGAGGCCGCTCGCCTGTACTGGGACGGGGGCCCCGACATGTCGGAACATCAATAAACTTTACCCTTTGTTAATTACATGAGAGAAGGTCTCTTGGAGCGTTTTTGGGGTGGCAAGAGCAATTCAACTCTAATTCGACTGTAACAGTATTATATAAAATGTTTGATAGCTTTTTTTTAGCTTGGTATAGATAGCCCCAACCTTAAAAACAAATTATCAAGTTGGATAATTTTTAAAGATTTATTTATTTATTTAAAAGTCATATTTACAAAGAAAGAAGGAAAGATAGAGAAATAGAAATTTTCCATCTGCTGGTTCACTCCCCAGATGGCCATAATGGCTGTGACTGTGCCAGTCCAAAGCCAGGAGCTAGGGACTTCTTCTGGTTCTCCTATGAGGGTGCAGGAGCCCATGGACTTGGACCATATTCTGCTGCTTTCTCAGGCTTGCTAGCAGGGAGCAGAATCAGAAGTGAAGCAGTCAGTATGTGAACCTGCACTCATATGAGATGCTGGTACTGCAGACTGAGGCTTAACCTACTGCACCATAGCACTGGCTCCTAAAGTTGGATTTTGGCTTGTAGGCATTTTCTAAGTGAGTTCTTTAATGAAGAGTATGTGCTAAGAACATGTGAGGGTTCTTTAAATCAGTATTTGCCAAATCAAACTAAAAAGGAAAAATAGAAAGAATGGATCTGAAAGTAGTCCTTAACAAATAACAAAACTGAATGAAAACCTCTCTAAAATGGGGAAAAAGGAATGTTGGGAGTATGGAAGATATTTCTCAGGATGTGTCAATTTGCAGAAGCTTTCATAAATGAGTTAACCTTATGTTGGATATCCTAATAGTTTTAGGAAACAGATTTGTGTTTAATAAAGTATAAGCTTCATCTAGTCTCTTTTTCTTGCCTTCAATAATGCCTTTGCACATCTCAAAATTTTCTACTGGTCTTTCATTGTTTAAATGTGCTAAAGAAATTTGAAATACACCATCTTTAATCGTTGATCAATAGTGTTATTCCTATTTTCCTTCTCATTATCTTTTATTGATGAATATGTATATTCTAAAATGTTATAAGAAAAAAGTTGATATGGAGTTTGTGTAGGTTTTGCTAAAATTACATACAAAATATGGACATTACAGGATAGTTTAATCTTATGCGGATATATAACAGGAGCTGAGATTTAATTTACTCTCAACTCAAGGAATGTTATGGACAATACATTTTATTTTTTTAAAGATTTATATTTTATTTACATGAAAGTTAGAGTTACACACAGAGAGAAGGAGAGGCAGAGAGAGAGAGAGAGAGAGAGAGAGAGAGAGAAAAGTCTTCCATCCACTGGTTTACTCCCCAGATGGCTGCAACTGCTGGAGCTGTGCCAATCGGAAGCCAAGAGCCAGGATCTTCTTCTGGGCCTAAGGGTGCAGAGACCCAAGGATTTTGGCTATCCTCTACTGCTTTCCCAGGTCATAGCAGAGAGATTGATTAGAAGTGGAGCAGCCAGGACTTAAACCGGTGCCCATATGGGATGCCGGCACTACAGGCGGCAGCTTTACCTGCTACACCACAGCGCTGGCCCCTATGGACAATATTTTTAATGTGAAGTGATGAATTACTAAAATTAGCACTGAAATTCAAATGTATACATAGGAAAATATATATATGTATATATATATATGTGTGTGTGTGTGGTGTATAAATATGTGTGTGTGTGTGTGTGTGTGTGTAAGAACAGGCAATAATAATATTACAAGATGGAGGATGGATCAAACACTGTTGGTTAACTTTGTATTGAGGGCTATTTTAATGTGACAAGTTCTCTATGTTTGAATATAGAGTATTTAGTATTTATTGATATTGCTGTTATCTTTTAGGAGATGCTTACTTTAATCCATTAAAAAATACCACCCACATTTTTCAGAATCTTCACCATTGTATTCTAAGGTATTTTTACTCAGAGACAATATTAGATACTTAGTACAGGCTGACTGAAAACAGTTTTTTACTTATTTTAAGAATTGATTTAAGTTGAGCAAATAAATGTATGAGAGTTGCCAAATATAGCATAACAAAGATTTTGAAAAATATTTATTATTTATTTACATATTAAAGATTTATATTTTTTGAAAGTCAGATTCAGAGAGAAAAATCTTCCATCTGCTGGCTCACTCCCCAGATGTGTGCAAAGGCCAGGACTGTGTATGTGTAAGAGGCCCAAATACTTGGACCATCTTTAGCTGCTTTTTCCAGGACATTAGCAGAGAGCTAGATCAGAATTGGATCAGCAAGCACAAAAATATCACCCAAATAGGATGCTGTCATTACAGATGGTGATTATACCTGCTATGCCACATGCCAGCCACCTCAATTAAACTTTGATTCTTAGGAAACTTATTTTCTTGAATTATGCTGGATCAAGTGACAAAGTCATGTCTATAAATATCTTTAGGATCCTGGCTACTGTTGTGGCCTACGAGCTTAAGCCACAGCCTGCACTACTGGCATCTCATAAGTATGCAGATTCCAGTAATGGCTGCTCTACTTCAGATACAGTTCCCTGCTAATGCTCCTGGGAAAGTAACAGAGGAAGAACCAAGTCCTTGGGCCCCTGCACCCATGTGGGAGAACAAAATGAAACTCCTGGATCCTGGCATAAGCCTGACCGAGTCCTGGCCATTGTAATGCATTCTCTCTCTCTCTCTCTCTCTCTCTCTCTCTCTCTTTCTCTCTCTCTCTCTCTCTTTCCCTCCCTGCCTCTCTCTCTCTTTCTCTTCCTCCCTCTCTCTATAACTCTGACTTTCAAATAAATAAAACAAATATTAAAAAAAAACATTAGAACACATGAATATCTGTTAACTGCATAAACATTCTTTCCTGTGAGTTGTGAGTTCTTTGCCTTTTCTCTCTATTTTCCTATGCATTTGTTATTCCATGAAGATAATAAAAGCAGAATTTTCTTCCTATTTTATTTATTGATAGGCACTCTACATGATTGGCTTGCAGAACAGGAAATTGCAAATGCACACACACATATCTATATACATATATTATAAATACATAGACATGTATATATGTCAGCTTTTCTTCTCTTTAACTTTTTTGGTGTTTTTTTCTTTAATTACAGTCAACTTTGAGAAGAACAGTCTCCTTTCAGCATATAATGGATGCAATTTGTTATATAAAAGCAAGAAAGAATTTAGTTATGTGAATGACAATGAACTGAATCAGAATGCCATCCTAAAGATACATGATTTAGATAACAATCCAAAATGAAATATACTGCATGGATACATCTGGAGTGCAAAGTTAGAATCAGCCTCATTATGCCTCTGCCCTCCAAACAAGCACAACTTTTCTAATAAAACTAAATTATTGGGCCTACTGTTTTTCAAATGGGATATAGATGACAGATGGATCAACAGATTAATAAAGATAAATATTAAACAGATCTACACATGTACTATTTTTGTGCTATGTGATATTTACTAATGGATTTAGTTAACAAATATTAACAGCCTACTTTATGAAAGGTACTAATCTAGGCAGTGGGTATACAGCATTAGATAAGCCAAATCTATTCTTACATGGAAATATTTTGGAGATACTGGTAGATGATAATTAAGCCTATATAATGGGAAGTGGAGAACATTTTTTTAAGCTAGACAAAAATTTCCCTTCAGGAAAGTTAATGCTTATGTGTAGACCTAAATGAAATCAAGGAATAATACTATTTTTTTATAAAATATTGAGGAAGATTCTAAGATGGCAGAATAGGGAAGGGTATACTGCTCTAGGTAGGGGTAAACAGTGAAAATAAATAAATAAATAAAGTGAAGGAAGTACAGTCACGGGGGGAGTTAGAGAAAAAAACATAGTGAAAATCATACAAAAGGAAGACGAATGCTATGCGTCGGTGTGCAAGGTAAGGACATGTAGCAATAGTATCTGCAAAACACATGAACTCAGAAGAGGAGAGCCAAAGAAAGCATCAGCTTTGCAGAGTGAGTAGAGTTCATATGTCAGCGGCCTGTGCTACTGGTGACAGCCAGAAGGAGAGCTTCTAACACAGTAAAAAAAAAGGAGGGACATATTTCTCTCTCCCCATCCCCCCCACAACAAGGGTGCCTTGCAACTGGCTGAGAGAAGGCAGGTGCCATTTAAGGGCATAAACAGCCATGTGCAGAAGCTCTTGCCCTCACACCCAGCAACTGGCTGGGAGAAGGTCCTATCTTGCCAGCGGTAGCAGAGGCAGCAGCTTGGGTGCACACACCTAGCAACCAGAGAGAAGGAGCCATTCTAACATTACTACCAGTAGCAGAAGCTCTTGTCACTGCCCAGCAACTAGCAAGGAGAAGGAAAAATTGTGAAATGAATGGGGCTGTGGCCAGAGCTCTTATACAAGCATCTTATCCAATTATTCTTATCCAATAATTCTACTAGAGGGGAAAATCTGTGTTCCTCACTTACTTTAAGCCTGTTCATGAGGATCTAATATATATATATATATATATATATATATATATATATGTTGTGTATAAATATGTGTGTGTGTGTGAGTAAGAACAGGCAATAATATTACAAGATGGAGGATGGATCAAACAATGTTGGTTAACTTTGTATTGAGGGCTACAGACAGAAGGCTAGTCACCCACATCTCACAGGATTGTGAGATGCCACCAGATTCTCAACATATCACAGGCTCCATGGCTCAAATCACCTTGGTGGAGCAATCACAGGATGTTCACTCTGGGAATATCTCTACCTCTCTTTGGACAGGCTAGCAGGGCAGAGAGGATCCTCTGCACCACATGACTGTGACAACCTTGCATATTGTGACTTTGGGAACTCTGTGAATGCAGGAGAGGGTGCAGGATATAGCTGGGTCTCTGAAGCAATCAATGTGAACATCTCCACACAGTCAAGCTCTAATTTTGTGGCATAGATCATTACCATAGGATACATACTCACAATGAGAATTTACAGATCCTTTGTGAGGTTCATATGGCAGTATGGATGAGTTTTGCACCAATTGTGGGCTAACATCTGGGCATTGATCATCACAGAAGAAAAAAGCTGAGGTTGTGATTATGCCAACACAAATGATTATATTTGCCTTTCTGCTACAAAGAGGAGCTCTACTGTGTCCAACTTGGGTTTCACCGTGGATATTTGCCCTACCTTAGAGCAATCAACAGAGTTCTCTGGCCACACCCAGAATACACCTCTGAGTATTCACTGAGAGAGCAGACACTCCACTAAGGCACATAGGAATAGTTCAAAGATAAAGCCATCAGAGGAAAAAACCAATGAATATCTCCACAAATGCCTAACAATAAATGCAGAAATTCAATAAACAAGAATAAGGAAGACAAAATGACTCCTCCGAAGGAACACAACAACTCTTCAATATTAAAATGTAAAGATGAAGAGACTGATGAAAAATCTGAAATGAAATTCAAAAGATTAATCATAGGAACTCTGAAGCAATGAGAAGAAAATTCAAAAATTAAAGAAATTCATAAATGACATGAGTGAAAAATTCTCCTATGAACTTGTTATTTTAAGAGAAATCAAAAGGAAATATTAGAAATGAAGAATTCAATACATCAAATAAAAAATTTGGTGGAAAGTCTTAACAACAAATTTGGTGAAGTAGAAGAAAGAATATATAAGCTGGAAGACAAATCTTTGGGAATTTTCAGTCTGATCAGAAGAAAAAAAGATACGAAATTAGAAAAATTAAAGACATTATTGGAGATATATGGGAAACCATCAAATGATCCAACATATTAATCTCAAGAGTTCCTGAAATTCTGGAAAGAGACAATGAATTACAAGGCTTATGCAGTGAAATAACTACAGAAAACTTCCCCATTTTGGAGAAAGAAAGGAGTGTCAAAGTACATAAGGCACATATAACTTCTTACAGACATGATCAGAAAGGATTTTCACCATGACAGATTGTAGTCAAACTTTCAACAAAAAAATCATGTTTCTAAAATGTGCACAAGAGAAACACCAGATTACTTTCAAATGATCTCTAATTAGACTCACAGCTGATTTCTCATCAGAAACCCTGCAGGGTAGGAGACAATGGAGAGACATAGTCCAAGTCTTAAGTTAAAAAAACTGTTGACCCAGAATGTGGTATCTTACAAAACTCTCATTTATGAATGAAGATGAAATAAAGACCTTCCATGAAAAAGAGGCACTGAAAGAATTTATCACCACTCATATAGCCTTACAAAAGATGCTTAAGGATGTGCTACATACAGAAACACAGAACAATAGTCATTATTATGAAAGATGCAACAGAGAAAGAGAATCGCAGACCAATTTCCCTGATGAACACAGATGCAAAAATCCATAGATGAAAAAATTCTAGCCAATTTAATCCAACAACACATCAAAAATATCATCTGCCCAGACCAAGTAGGATTTATCCCTGGTATGCAGGGATGGTTCAACATTTGCAAATCAATCAATGTGATACATCACATTAATAAACTGCTGAACAAAAACCATATGATTATCTCAATAGATGCAGAGAAAGTATTTGATAAAATAAAACTCCCCTTCATGATGAAAACTCTGAGAAAATTGGGTATAGAAGGAATATTACTCCACAAAATCAAGGCAATTTATGACAGACCCACAGATAATGTCCTACTGAATTGGAAAATTTGGAAGAATTCCCATTGAGATCTAGAATCAGACAAGGATGCCCACTGTTACCATTGCTATTCAATATACTCCTGGAAATTTTAGTCAGAACCATTAGGCAAGAGAAAGAAATCAATGGGATAGAAACTGAGAAGGAGGAAGTCACACTACTATCCCTATTTGCAGATTACATGATTCCATATATAAGGATCCAAAAGATTCAATTAAGAGACTGCAGGAACTCATAGAAGAGTTTGGCAAAGTGGCAGGACATAAAATCAACACAGAAAAATCAATAGTCTTTGTGTACACAGATAATGCCATAGTAGAGAAAGAACTTCTAATATCAATCCCATTCATAATACCTACAGAAATCAAATATCATTGAATAAATTGAACCAAGGATGTCAAAGATCTCTACAATGAGAATCACAAAATATAAAAGAAAGAAATAGAAGAAGACACAAAACAATGGGGAAAACTTCTATGTTCATGGATTGGAGGAATGAATATCATCAAAATGCCCAATACTGCTGAAATCAATTTACAGATTCAGTGCAATACCGATCAAAAACAAGGACATTTTTATCAGATGTAGAAAAAATGCTATAAATCATATGGAAACACAGGAGACACCTGAATAGTTAAAGTAATTTTATACAACAAAACAACATTGGGAAAACCCTGCAAGACACTGACAAGGACAGAGAGTTCTTGGGAAAAACCCCAGAGGCATGGGCAATCAAAACCAAAAATTGACAAATGGGATTGCATCAAATTAAGTAGCTTCTGCACTGCAAATGAAACACTCAGAAGTGTAAAGAGATAACTGATAAAAATGGGAGAAATTATTTGCATACTATGCAACTAATAACAGATTAATAACCAGAATATAAAAGAGATCAAGAAATTCAAGAAAGACAAAACAAGCAGCTCAATTAATAAATGGGCAATGGACTTAAATAGACATTTCAAAACTGGAAATCCAAATGTCCAAGAGACACATGAAAAAATGCTCAGGATCACTAGCCATCAGGTAAATGCAAATCAAAACCATAATGGAGTTTCTACTCACCACTGCTGAAATGGAGTTTCAACTCACCAACAAGTTGCACTGTGGTTCATATAGAAATCAACATGCCCATACAACCAAAAGCAATTTACAGGAGTCAATGTAATCCCAATAAAAATACCATTGACATTCTTCTCAGAGCTAGAAAAGATGATACTAAAACTCATGAAAACAAAAGAGACTCCAAATAACTAAAGCAATCTTACACAACAAAAACAAAGTTGAAGATATCACAATACCAAATTTCACGATATGTTATAGGATAGTTATAATCAAACAGCCTGATACTGCCAAAAATAGACATTAGACCAATGAAACAAAATAGAAACTTCAGAAACCAATCCACACATCTATAATCAATTGTCTTTGACAAAGTGGCTAAAATTAATCCTGGAGCTAGGACACCATCTTCAACAAATGGTGTTTGGAAATTTGGATCCCTGTGAGCTGAAATAAGAAACAAGACCTGTACCTTACACATTTCACAGATAACCAGTCAAAATTGATCAAGAACCTAAATCTACAACCTGATAAATTCAAATTATTAGAGAACATTGAAGAAACCCTGTAAGACATGGGCATAAGCAAAGAGTTCCTGGAAAAGACCCCAGAGGCAGAGTAAATCAAAGCCAAAATCAACAAATGGAATCACATAAAGCTGAGGAACTTCTGCACTACAAAACACTCAGCAAAGTGAA